CTTATATAAAAAGTATATGGAGACTTTAATTCCCTATAAGCCCTTTCCAAAGAGTAAATACAGTTCATCATTCGTAAGAGATGATGAAATTACAATTTTGTTGAATAGGTGGAATATATATTATATATAATATATATATTTATTTTTAATATATATATAAAATATATAAAGTTACTATTCAGAGTCCTAAAACATGGATTTTTCTTACTTACCAAGAATGAAGAGTAACTTGATCTCTAAACACAATAAAGCACCTGGTCATAGCAGAATCATAACAAATATTTTATATCAGAATGAATTCACTGTTCAGGTGGAAAGAGGGAATACCTTCAGTTTTCCTCTTTCTTGCACCCAATTATTGCATCCTGGAGAGAGGGGATTTTCTTGATTTTAGTCTAAAGGAGAAATGTTCACTTTTGTTAAGATGGAAATTGACAACCTCAGTAGGCAGAGGCACTGTTTTTATTTGGCTGAATTCATGTTTCTAGTGATAATTCAAGGTTTAATAGGGTTTTCTCTGCCACTCCAAAAATCTGAAAATGATAAGCATCTCACCAGAGTTTCAGGACGGTCCATTACCTATTCTGTGGAAAGGATATTCAAAATACCATGCTTCATCAATGTCTTCTTTGACTTATTAATCAGTGAACAACTACTGAGTTAAGACAGTGTCTTATCCTTGCTTCAAAAAAAAAAGAAAACCACAAACACAAAAAAGCTGTTAACAATGAAAACTTATTATTCCAGGCCTTAGTATGGCCTGACTTGGAAATTTAGTTTCAGGGGCTTTTGTGAATATACCAAGGAAAGAAGACCTAGTTGTATTTTATTCCCACAGGCTGCCAATAAATATTTGCTTAACGGAGAAAAAATTAATATATAGTATAGGAGAGAACCTGACAGATGCTTAACATTATTGAGTGATAGCAACGCCCAAACTCATCTGTGATCAAACACTATGAAGTATCCTCCTAAGGATAAACTTATTACAAATAAGAAGTGAAAATTCAATTATGGAGATACTTTCAGTTTCAGCTCTGACATGCAAAAAGCTTGGAAGTTGTCACTGTATCTTGTCCTTACAAGATAATGCTGTACAAAATGAAAATCAATGACTTTTCTCAGACGTGATTAATAAAACATGTAACTACGAAAGAATTTTAAAACTGTAATTATGTATGTGTATATATGTGTCTCTGAAAAATCTGTGTCAAAGAAAACTGAGGCTATCAGTATAAACTCATTTAATTTCTATCTCTTCTTACCTTTATTTCCTCTCAACTCGAAGGATACACGTGATTTTTATATACTGTGCAAGGTTTTTTTTTCTTATTCATATGTCCATGTTTCCCCAATTCTCTAAATTATTATCTACATCTTCAGGATCTCCTTTATCAGTTCCTTCATTTCAACATATAAAATATAAGTCCTTCTCATTCTAAAAAATTCTTTTTTGCTAATTATTTTCTCTTTTCATCCAAACTCCTTCAGAGCGGCCTATTCCCACTGTCTTCACTAGCCCCACCTGGCCCCGACAGGCAGCCCTACGCCCTCAATTTATTGCAATCTGGCTTTCTTGTCCACCACTTCACTGAACTGCTCTAAGGTCACTGGGGACCTAACTGCCCAAATCCAATGGACACTGACATTCTCTGAAGGATGACACTGTCATCTACTTCCTCCTTCTTGAAACTCTATCACCTCTCTCCTTCCCAGAATTCTTTCTCTGCTTATTACTTAAACGTTGTCAGTACTCACAATTCTCTGAAATCTCATCCATTTTCATGATTTTAATGACTGCTAATATGTGCTGATGGCATTCACATTTTTATCTTTCCATGTCTTCACATGCATGTCCAGTTATCTACCAGTCTGTCTCCTGAATTCTACAGGTGCTTTAAAATTCTACATGTGCAGAACTAAAGTCTTTTTTCCCAATTCAGTTCTTTATCCCCTATTTCCAAACTCAATGATACCACCACCCAACCTTAGTCACACAGATGGGGGTTCAGCCTCCGCCTCCTACTTCTTCCTTATTTCCCAAGATCAAGCCTTGCTTGTAATTTCCTAAATAAAATTAGAACTTATTTCCTCCCTTCATCTATACCTTATTTCAGACCCCTTTCTATTACCTGGCCTAGAAGTTACCAAATTGCTGTTTGGTGGAACCAGTTGTTAGACACTTCTACTAAAAAAGGACTCTAGAGTCAAATAGATTTGAGAATGGCTGTGTACCATGTGCCTGCTGTGACGATCCAGAATGAACATTAGCCTACAGCAGCCCCGAGAAGCTGTACAGTAAAGAAACCTGATTAACTTTACTTAAGGAAGTTAATCCTTAACTTTACTTAAGGATTAACTTCCCTTCTGCCAGCCTATAAACCTTTCAGTAGGGACAGGAGAGGAGATGGCAGCATGAAAGTCCCACTCGAAAATAGAAAACACTGCTCCTCAGAAGAGTGGGGCATAATTATCTCCAGGCTTCTTCAGCTTCCTCATCCATACTGACGTCAGTGGTCTAAAATGCCACCTGAACTTGTCCTTTCCATTCTTAGCTATTTTCTGGGGAAACCAGCTCCACGCACATGGATGGTTAAGGCCCGCTCTCCTCCTCCTCGCTGCCTCCTTTAGGGGCATTTGCCACTGCCTGGGGACACTTCACTGATCCTCCAGAGCCTGTGCCTGTGGCTCCGTAACACACCCCTCGCACACTCACGACTCTGGACTTCTGCTGTCCTCTCTGCCTTGAGTGTCCTTGCCCTTCACCGGCTGACTCACCAGTTTCTCACGAGTCCTTTAAGACTTAGCTTAGGGACTACCTCTTTCGATGACTTTTTTTTCCCTCACAGCTCCCCCTCTTCTTCCACAAACACTGACTAAACGCCCTGAATATGCCTGTCACAACATGTCACGTGCAGGATGAGACATCTGCTGTGTGTCTTCCCCTCTCACTCGACTGCTAAAGGGCCAATGCTACATCTTCCTCATCGTTTCACTCCTCTAACACCCAATCCATGACTAATGGACTAACTAGTACTGTAGTAGTCCTCTTAGTAACAATCAGGCAGGACCTTCTAGAAGAAATCTGACACTCCAGCTTTTCTCTGATCTCACCTTTCAGTCTGATTGAACTAAAGACTTAGCTGTGCATGTTTTACTAGGGAGACATAATTTAATCCAGAGATGTGTCATCACATACTCTTACATACTCTGCCGTTTAAAAATTCTGCTTAGATGGGGGAAGGAGACAGGTGTGTTTTCTGACAGCCTCAATGTTTTGCACTTCTAGTGCTCACTGCTCACTGGCTTCTCTCTCGGTGCCTTCCTTAAACCCTTCTTCTCTTAACAAGGAAACAGGATAACAAAGTAATTAAGAGCCTGGGTTCTGCCTATCTGTGAAACAGAAACATAACCAAGGACATAGAGAATAGACTGGTGGTTGCCAAGGGGGAGGGGGTGGGAGAGGGTTGGATTGGGAGTTTAGGATTAGCAGATGCAAACTGGTGTATATACAGGATGGGTAAACAAAAAGGTCCTACATGGGACTTCCCTGGTGGTGCAGTGGTTAAGAATATGCCTGCCAATGCAGGGGACACGGGTTCGAGCCCTGGTCCAGGAAGATCCCACATGCCGCGGAGCAGCTAAGCCCGTGCGCCACAACTACTGAGCCTGCGCTCTAGACCCTGCGAGTCACAACTACTGAAGCCCGTGTGCCACAACTACTGAAGTCCATGCACCTAGAGCCCGTGCTCCACAACAAGAGAAGCCACCACAATGAGAAGCCCGCACACCACAAAGAAGAGTAGCCCCCGCTCACCGCAACTAGAGAAAGCCCGCGTGTAGCAACGAAGACCCAACACAGCCAAAAATAAAAAAATAAATAAATACATTTATTTTTTAAAAAGTGGATGTATTTTTAAAAAACCAAAAAGGTCCTACTGTATAGCACAGGGAACTATATTCAATATCCTGTGATAAACTGTAATGGAAAAGAATATGAAAAAGAATGTATATAAATGTATAACTGAGTCACTTTCCTGTAGAGCAGTAATTAACACAACACGTAATTCTACTATATGTCAATAAAAAATAAAAATTTTAAAAACTGCCATAAAAATAATCACATAAGGGAGACTTCCCTGGTGGTCCAGTGGTTAAGACTTCGCTTTCCAATGGAGGGGGTGAGGGTTCGATCCCTGGTCAGGGAGCTAAGATCCCACATGCTTGTGGCCAAAAAACCAAAACATAAAACAGAAGCAATACTGTAACAAATTCAATAAAAACTTTAAAAATAGTCGACATCAAAAAAAATCTTTAAAAAAATCACATAAATCAGAAACAAATGAAACATAATAAAGTCCACACATTAAAAAAAAAAAAAAGCATGGGTTCTGGTCACATCCCAGCTTCCCACTTACTTACAGCTGTGTAATTCTGGGCAACTCACATAATGTCTCCTCAGACTCCTCATCTATAAATGGGGATGGTAATAGTTCCCTACCTCATAGTGTTGCTATAATCCATAAACAAAGTTAAGTGCCTTGGTAAATGTTTGATGCTCTCTGGTTATTGTGAATTAAAATATGTCAATGGCTTCTGGCAATATGATTTATAATAGTTTGACATTTAACCAAATGGTAAAACTATTCCATTTATTATTTCCATCTCTTTTTACCCCTTACCCTGTTTTGTTGTTTATGTTTTCTCGCACCACAGAGTGTTAGTTTCAGGAGAGTAAAGGCTTTACATTGTTCACTGCTGAAAGCAATAGCACCCAGAAAAGTACAGTACATATGAAGCCCTCAGTAAACACTAGCTGAATGAATGGTGCAAAGTGCCACAAGGAAAAATACACCAAAACTTTCATTATAATAAAAAAGTATAGATAAATCTTTCTCTAATGGCTTCCAGTCAAGTATTTTAAAACACCATATACTATAATAAAAACATAAGTAATTTATTAAAATTTGAAGGCAAAAGCATAATTTTAAAAGATTTTAAAAGATTTAGACCTATGTTAGGCATGATGGAGTATGGATGCTTTCTTGAAATTCACAGTCAGATCCAAGAGTATCACTTTCAAAATGTTCTAGTAGACTGAGTTTACTTTTAGTTGTCTTTGATGAAACAGTCACTATTCTACTCTCTTTCTTAACAGAAATGTGTTTTTTCTAAGACTCACTTCTAATTGGTTCATTAAGCAAAGAATTATTTTGCCCAATTCCTTTGCTTTTCTGCTTTACAGGTGAGTCAGAGCAGGAATGCACGTCCTTCCCAGGTTGTTTCTTAGCAGAGTATGTTTTGGTATATTCACCTGCTTTGGTCATTTTCTCTGAAGAAGACCTGCTATTTCTAGATAATTCCTCTTCTTTTCTTTGACTTCCAGTTCCAGAAATGATGTCTGCTGAAGGAGAACATGTTCTAGCAATGAAATCTTCAAAAGACTCCTGCCACTGCTCTGTGACTGGGACCCCCAGGTTGTCTTTGGAAGTTTCTAACGCCTCCTGAGTAGAGACTGGGACATGGAAGGAGTCAAGAGGCAAAGGAATCCCAGCATCACCTGTAATTTTCTGAAACTGGAGGGAAAGACAAAAGACAAGGCAAAAATTCAGTGATGAACAAAGACAACCATTAAAAAGTAGAGTTCAAAACTTCAATGTTACTCTGTGATCTTATTATTAACACAGTCAATTGATTATTCAGAAGACTTCAGAGGCATTTTTTTTCTAATTATATCTTGCCAAGTGATTCTCAACTTAACCTAGCTATATCCAAGGCTATGTCAGCTACATTTTCAGACTTTGGTGATTGGGGTAGTTATTACCCATTTCCTTTCCCTCACTAAGAATGAAACCCTACTCTGTAAGAAAAATTAATTTCTTTTCTATCCTCCAGGCACATGTAAACAATATATAGTTTGTGACCAGACTGTGTTCTCAAGCTGTCAGCTCCCAAGACCAGTCTGAGATTGGCTGAGGTGGGCAAAGGGGGCTCCAAGTAAGGTGGAGGAAAAGCTGACAGGTTTCCCCTCCCATTCCCATGACCAGGTGAGCCACTATAATATCTTACATATTAGCTATGTCAAGATTACTTTTTAAAAAAATTATATCAGTATGTGTACCTTCATTAGTGTTCCTTCATTGTATGCTGACTGCATACAAATAGAAACCTAGATAAAATATGAATAGAATAGACATTCATACAATTTAAAATTTGGAATATTTTCTGTAATGTTTTCTTTCTTCATTAAGGAGAGTTTGCTTTAACTCATAAATTTTCTAAAGAACTTCCAGTTTTCTTATGTACAACAATACAGTATCATGAAATGGGCCCACATTTACTGATCTCAGATTTGGAGAGGACTCCAGAGTCTTCTAGCTCCCGAGCATGTGAACTATTAGAGACTGACCATTATTATTTTCTCTCTGACTTGGTCATTTCCTTTTTGCTAATCACTCTTAGAATTATTAAGTGCTGTCCTGTCCACTTACTTGGAGATTTTGCGTTTGTACTGGGGCACTCTGCTTTGATTCTGATTTTTCTTCTTCAAGTGCCTTCTTTTCTTCTTTAGGTGGACTACTAACAGTAGAATTCATCTGGGGACGACCTAGTAAATGAAAATCTGACTGATCTATACCAGCCATTGTGGCCAGCTGCCCAAGCCTGGACCAAAGGAGGAAAGGAGAAAAGACAAAGGTTATTATAATCACATAAGAGCAGTTTAGATTTCCCCAGACCTACCATCATGAAATACTTCTAAAATCTTAAAAGCCAACATCCTACTCCAGACTACAAGTCTCTCTCTCCCCCAAATTCTCAGCCCTTTCCAGATTCATCCTCTAGGAGACATCCCACTGTCTCACTAGCAGCTTCAACATGTACCATGCACCCCGTCCACTGCCTGTCACACCTCCATTCCCACACTTCTTTACCACCTTTCCTCCAGTTTCCAAGAATGTGTTTGTTCCTTCCTTACCAACACAAATTCATTCACTGACAAAACACCACTCCATCAACTATCAATCTCCACTTCCCTCTTTTAGCAAAAGTGCTCCTGGTTGAGAACCACTGACCTATATCTTCCCTGCAGATTAATAATAATTTTTATGTCTAAGACAAAAATAACTTTAATTCAAACTTATCAAACAAGCAAAATAAATGAAAGATAGGAAAATTCTTATCCATTCCCGAATATTTTCAATGAAAGCTGCCTTCAATTTAGTCTTTACAAAAAACTATACGCACTAATTACTCTGTCTACAGGTTACTCTTTTATAATGGGCTCCCCACTCTACCAAAGCAGGCTCCCCTATTTGCATTTCTTAAAAAATTTAATTCCTCATTTTAAAATGTCAACTATATTACCTATAATTACACTAAATTTGGCTAAATATGGCTACATAAGTGATGAAAATTGCCCCAGTTCCTCAGCAAACTACCATTATAGTCGCAAAGAGAAGAATGCCATGAAGAGAAATGAACTAACCCAGCATCTTTAAGGAGATCTAAGAAAGCATGCAACTTCTGAAAAGAATTCTCAATGCTGCCCAAAACACCTTCATCATCCAGGATCATGCTTGTCAATGAGTGGGCATGAAGGGCTTCAGACAAAGAGAAATTTATATTTCTTAACTGGGCATTTTCATGTTCCAGCTATAAAAGAAGACTGAAAATGTCTGACATGATTTTTTCTCATTGTCATCAAAAGTAGTCTTGTCTAGTTTCAAGGAACAAAACTAAAACACTCAAAATGTAATTAATCTGTAATTAACCTAACTCTCCACCAGTAAAGACAGAGACCATATCACATAATAACCAAAACCCCCAGGCACCCAGCAAAGTTTCCTATATAACACTTAGGTGGTATATAAATAAAAGTTATCATTTTATTAATGATCTTTCACAAAAGATCACATTTCTAACTGGTTAAATTCATAATGGAGCCTCATTCCACATCAGAAAATTACCTGCTTTAAGTTTCCCTTAAATTAGAAAGTGAATTATAGAATCTGATTTGAACAAAACATATTACAACTCTGCTGAATGTTAAGAATTAACTTTAGTGAGCAAAATATCTAATGCTTACGTTTAAAAGTCCTAAATCATACCCAACCCAATTTATTAAATGTACGATCACCAAAATTGTTTTAGGATTCTTGAAAATATTCACTCCCGTGCACTCTTCCCCTTCCGCTCATCACCTATGCACTTAAAACCCCCTATAAGCTCAACTCTAGTATTTCTCAGAAAAGCTGTTATGTTCATGATGCCCCTTTTGCCTTATATAAGCAGGTGCTCAACATTTATTGAATGAGTGTCCGCCAATCCAATGAATGCACTTTGGAAAGTTCCTCCCTACGCTCAACCTATGATAAAGTATATTTATATAGAACTTTTTAGATTATGCCCTGCTTTCATGCACATTACCTAATGTAATTCTTATAGTATATAGTTTTATCTTTCATTGCATTCTTACAAGTTTTCCAATATCTTAAATTTATTTAAATTATTCACTTTCCTAATTTATTGCCAGGAGAGTCTCATCATGTCTTTTATGCTACTGTATATACAGTATATGCACAAAAAGTGCTTTCTTTAATCAAAGAATCATGAACATAAAATAAGCTAATGTCATATGAAAGCGCACACACACACACACACACACACACACACACACACAACGAGATTTTCACATTTTTAAAAACATGCTTTCTGGAATATAGATCATATGATCACTAAATACCAGTAAATGCAAAAGTCCATATGATACAACCAATTTGCAACATATTACAGTTTTAAAGTTTAAAAACTATGTGTATATGGCTTAAAATCAAATCAAAATAAAACCAAAACACTCTCAAAAGTATAAGAAATTGTTTGCCTCATTGACTCATTTATCAGCCTTAAGTCTTATTACTCTTTCCTCCTTTAACTGCTTTAGGCACTCCTCCAGTTTTTCCTAAACAGAGTAAATATTATAACTAATTCGTAGTATAATACCTAAAAGCCTTTCCAGCTATAGGTCTCATCAGGATTTAGGGGCAGAGCCAGAAGTGAACTCAGATTTTAGTCTGCTACTGGTAATATCATACCATGCTAGTGAAATGAATTATCAAAATCTATCAAATTAGCATAGTAAAGATTTATTTAAATTCCACTTTTTCCAATGGCAACCCACCATAAAAGGCATATGCGTATAACATAGCAAGTCAGAAATAAATAGTTAAGACCAAGAAAGAAACATTCTATTTTTATTTGTGGGTCTCTTTATAGTAGGAAGTCCTATTAATGAACATGCTTAACATACCTGAATTGCATAATTGCAGATTCAAAAGCATTTTTTTTTAAAGTAATCACTTTTAAAGCAATTTCCAGTCAAGCACTGTTCCTGGAGTTCCCTGGGCATTAAATAATCTAATCATCAAAACCCTAAGAGGGGGCTTCCCTGGTGTCACAGTGGTTAAGAATCTGCCTGCCAGTGCAGGGGACACGGGTTCGAGCCCTGGTCCGGGAAGATCCCACGTGCCCGGAGCAACTAAGCCCGTGTGCCATGACTACTGAACCTACGCTCTAGAGCCCCTGTGTCACAACCACTGAGCCCACGTGCCACAACTACTGAGCCCACGTGCCACAACTACTGAAGCCTGTGCACCTAGAGCCCGTGCTCTGCAACAAGAGAAACCACTTCAATAAGAAGCCCGCACACCACTACGAAGAGTAGCCCCCGCTCGACGCAACTAGAGAAAGCCCGTGAGCAGTATCAAACACCCAGGGCAGCCAAAAATAAATAAATAGGGCTTCCCTGGTGATGCAGTGGTTGAGAGTCCGCCTGCCGATGCAGGGGACACGGG